ACTTCAACTCCCAGAATTCCCCAGCCAGCTATGCTGGCTGGGGAATTCTGGGAGTTGAAGTCTACCCGACTTATAGTTGTCAAGGTTGAGAAACACTGCAGTACAGGGTTGGATTTTTTATTTATGTCTGCAGAGACCTCATTTCCAAAATAGGCCTCCCCAGTGCAACTTTCACTGCTGTTTATTCGATTACGGTCCCCATAAATGAGAAGCAACTTCGAGCAATTGCATTTATGCCAGCAGTTTCTAAACTTCTGAAAGTTTGGAAAAACCAATGAAGCCACCTCCTCATATTCTTCCCACTTCATCAAACCTGTTTTTTCCCTTTGAAGGTAACAATCCAATAAACCAGAATTTTGCAGGGAACCCCCAAAGGCTGAAGTAACTCTCTAGGTTCTGTTTAGACTGGGAAAAATGGATTTTTTGCATTTTTTCCATCCTTTGCTGGCTGGGGAATTCTGGGAGTTGAAGTCCACCCATCTGAAAGTTGCCAAGGTTGAGAAACACTGTTTGAGAGAGTCAGTCAGTCAATCGTTTTATTTCGGTCGTTGACCAGCAAAACAAATCTTTGGGAATTCTGGGAGTTGAAGTCCACACATCTTAAAGCATGGCTGGCTGGGGAATTCTGGGAGTTGAAGTCCACCCATCTGAAAGTTGCCAAGGTTGAGAAACACTGTTTGAGAGAGTCAGTCAGTCAATCGTTTTATTTCGGTCGTTGACCAGCAAAACAAATCTTTGGAAAAACAGAGTCGCATTGAACTCGCTGAATATCAATGCAGCTGACATAGCACAGAAATCGACTAGAATACAACAAGCTATAAAATCATAATACAAGTAAAATGGTGGGTTTAAGAATTTTGGGCATAAAAATTAATATAGTAAGGCATTATGCAATTTGAACAAGGCAGTGAAATGGTTATGTAGAACAGTGTTTCTCAACCTTGGCAGCTTTAAGATGTGTGGACTTCAGCTCCCAGAATTCCCCAGCCAGCCATGCTTTAAGATGTATGGCCTTCAACTCCCAGAATTCCCCAGCCAGCCATGCTTTAAGATGTATGGCCTTCAACTCCCAGAATTCCCCAGCCAGCCATGCTTTAAGATGTATGGCCTTCAACTCCCAGAATTCCCCAGCCAGCCATGCTTTAAGATGTATGGCCTTCAACTCCCAGAATTCCCCAGCCAGCCATGCTTTAAGATGTATGGCCTTCAACTCCCAGAATTCCCCAGCCAGCCATGCTTTAAGATGTATGGCCTTCAACTCCCAGAATTCCCCAGCCAGCCATGCTTTAAGATGTATGGCCTTCAACTCCCAGAATTCCCCAGCCAGCCATGCTTTAAGATGTATGGCCTTCAACTCCCAGAATTCCCCAGCCAGCCATGCTTTAAGATGTATGGCCTTCAACTCCCAGAATTCCCCAGCCAGCCATGCTTTAAGATGTATGGCCTTCAACTCCCAGAATTCCCCAGCCAGCCATGCTTTAAGATGTATGGCCTTCAACTCCCAGAATTCCCCAGCCAGCCATGCTTTAAGATGTATGGCCTTCAACTCCCAGAATTCCCCAGCCAGCCATGCTTTAAGATGTATGGCCTTCAACTCCCAGAATTCCCCAGCCAGCCATGCTTTAAGATGTATGGACTGAAGTCCACACATCTTAAAGCATGGCTGGCTGGGGGATTCTGGGAGTTGAAGTCCACATATCTTAAAGCTGCCAAGTTTGGAAACTAATTTAGAATAATAGGATAGTAAAATTATCGCTCTAAAGTATAGAAGTATAAAGTATAAAGTACAGTATAGTATACCGTAGAGTATTATAATGCTAAAATCCATGGAAAACGCAGTGATATGGTGTATAAGGAAGAATAATACATAAGAAGTTTCAAAACTAAACGTTAGAGTCCCATAACAGTGACATTTTTTTATATTACTAAAAACTTAATAACAACTCTTAATGAAAATAAGACAGAAGTCGGAATCAATGGACAGTAAGGACACAGTACTGTACATTGTAATAAAATTGTGATTAAATAGACAGCTGCATTTGAAACGTTTCCAAACAGAAAATATCCAGGAGGTGTTTGAAGAAAAATGATGGCGCATGTGCAAACTGTAAAATGGCATTTGGCTGCTGTCGTCGAAGCAGAGAGTCGGTTTGGCGAGCAGTTTGCAGCCCAGGGTTAGAAACCGGGAGGTTGCGAGTTCTAGTCCTGCCTGGGACCACAGACCAGCTGGGTGATGGTAGGCCATCATTTGCTCCCGCGCTAGGAAGGCGCCCAGGGCAAGCCGCTTCCGACGGGCGGGCCAAGAGAGCTGCGGGGATGTGTCAGGCTGTCGCCCGGGGTCAGCGCTGACCCGCAGGCACGAAAGCCGTCCAGCGTAGCCTGAGGCTCTGGCTTGTTCTCCTGCCTTACAGAGCGTCTGTTGTGACGGCTATTTCAGGAAAACCAGTGGAAAATTTCAGGCGGCCCACGCTTGGCTTCCGGACTGGCAGATAGCAAATCTTTTCCAGAAGGCGCAAGTTGACACCTGCAGTCGCACCTCTGTTTTGGAGAGGTGGTGGGGCAGGGGTGGCGCATCCAATTTCTGAGTCATGCGTGATTTAAACGTAACACCCCCCCTTTGCAATCGTGTTGGCACAGTGCAAAGTTTAGGACAGGGGTGCAGAATTATTTTGGGAGCTGAGGAGCGGGGAGACCAGGACCCCATTTCAGAAGTGGGCAGAGCCAAGGCGAGGAGGTGGGGTCAGGGGACAAACAAAATACAGGTATTCCTCGTTTAGCGACCACATTTGGGCCTGGCAATTCGGTCATTAAGCAAAGTGATTGCTAAGTGCTTATAATCTGACTTCCACTTTCCTCTGCTTTACAGACCTGCGAAGGTTGTAAATGCAAGGGCTGGTTGCAAAGTTACTTTTTCATCACCGTCATGACTGTGAATGGTCACTAAACGAGGCAGTCACTAAACGAAAACTACCTGTATGAGCTGTTTAGCTATAGCAGTGACAAGGTTGGGCTGAAGTCAAGGAGCCCAGGTTCAAATCTACCCTTTGCCATGGAAACTCAGTGGGTGCTAGTCAGTTTTCCTGTACCTTACAGGGTTGTTGTTGGGGAAATAAAATGGAGGCCGCCCTCATTGAGCTCCTTAGATGAATGGACTGGAAAGGAATGCCTAAGTTTAATTAATGCAAGTACAGGGATTGCAGAACTGCTGCTGGCTACTAAGCTGTGGTCCTTCCTCCAAATGGAGCTAAGTTCCTAGTCCTCATGGCTCGAATAAAAGGCTGACGATTATGTAGGGATGTAAGAAGCTGACTCGTATCCGGAGCTACATTTGATGGCCAGGAGGCAACCCAAAAGGGATTTGGGGGGATGCTGAGGCTAATAGTAACCCAAATGATGACGAAAAGTGAATGAAAAATTGGGGTCAAGATGTGATTTTCATTCTCTGTTTCCAAAATGCATTTAAGCCTTTGGGGAGGGGGTGCACAACCATGTTACTGTGTTTTTCCCCTAAAACCAATATAATTGGCTCTCTCAACGGCAGAAAAGTAGATTGGGGCCCACAGATTGAGCAACCCCCAAGTATTTTTGCAAGGGGTCGTGCGGAAATCTTAGCCATTGTTTTGTCACTCCGAGCATCCTTTGTTGCCACCAACTGTGTTAATTTAATCCCGTCTTGCCAGTTTGGCAAACAGGGCCACATCATCTCTCCGAGGGAAGATCTTTCTCTGCACTTCCTTCTAAATCCTGTTTTTGGGGATACGCAGAGCCTTCTGTGCACAAAGGAATCATGTTGCCCCCCGGCCGGGTTCCCTTCCCCAACCCTTTCTCTGCCTTCAGGGATCAAGCGTCTCACACCAGCTGTGCGCAGAGTTGCCCGTGTCACACATCCATTGCGGTGGACGCTAGACTGATGCAGAGGGCCTTTTGCAGACACCTTAGATTAGTGGCTGCACTAAAGGATTGATAGAACAGATGTGGCTCGTGGGGGGGCGCTTCTTACTATTAATTTCTTACTATCAACTCCCCCTTGCGCTTAGTAGAAGGATGAGAAGGTTTGGGGGCTAGGGGAGACTGGCGCATGCAAAATTAACACAGTTCTCTCTTTCTGTCCCCCCCCTGCAGTGGTTTGTCCTCTGCCCTGCATGAACGGTGGTCAGTGCACATCTGGCAACCATTGTCTGTGCCCCCCGGAATTCACCGGCCGTTTCTGCCAGGTGCCCGTGAACCGCCAGGGACAGCAGGCGCGGGCCCCCAGCGATGGGGGGCCGATGGAGACGGGCTCCAGCAAACACGCCATTTATGCTGTCCAGGTCATCTCGGATCATCACAGCGACAGCCCCTCTGGGCCGGGTTCGAAAGGCACCGTGAGCCATTCCACCTTTATGGTACCCCTGGGGCATCATTCCTCTGAAGGTAACCGGGGACAGGTGGGGGGTGGCTGAGTTTGGGCCGGGCTTGGTGACAGCCTGGGGGTTGCGGGGGATTAGGGCGGAGCGATAAAACCCCTCTGCGGTGCTGAATTTGAAACTCTTGATGTGCCCAATGGAGAATCTTTGAGCATGTGCAGAGGGCTTTCAGTCCCCAGCTCCAGGGTTTAAAGTGGATTCCAACTCACTGGGCCGCGTAAGAGACACTCCCTCAAAGTTCCAGTTTGTCATTCATCTGCTAGTTAGTGAACAAAAAGACATGGATCAAGAATTCCGTACATGCTCAGAAGCCTTGGTGGTGGGTTCCAGGTCTGAGCTCTGCCGATGTCCCAGGGAGGACAAAATGGTAAATAAACAGACAAGAACAAACCCTGTTGTGAACCTCAGATCATATTTTGTGGGTCTGAGCATGTGCACTTTCCATTCCCATAACACTCAACTTCCAAATTATCTGGCCTAATTTCCAGGCAAGTGTAAACCACAATATTCCCCTTTTGTTGGGCTCAAGCCACAGATCCTAGTTATTTTGCCAGAACCACATCTTTAATTTTTTAGTGGGGGAGATGCTGTCTGAGTTTCCAAAATGCCAGCTGGATCCCTCTCATCCCTCCTGAATTGCAGATGTCCCCCACTGGTATTTTATTTTATTTTATTTTATTTTATTTTATTTTATTTTATTTTATTTTATTTTA